CCTTTTCTATTGTGTTTAAGGTGATCAATAGATGATCATGTTAAATTAATTGCATTATTTAATTTTTGATATTTTGATATATATTTGTCATATGCATAAGAATTCTTTGTTTTTTAGGTTAACTATGAATTAAAGCAGGTATTAATATGTGCTGATCCACAATATATGAATATTCTGTAATAAGGAAGAAAAATGTTCTTTTTTTTTTTTTGGTCTTTTTTTTCATTTTTCTCTGTACGGGGATCAAACTCATGACCGCCTGCTTGCAAGGCAGGTGCTTATGCCACTGAGCTAAATCCCCAGCCCCAAAATGTTCTTTTAAAGATAATTGTTCCAATGGAGGGCCTACCTACAGAGATGATTGCTATAAAAACGGGCTAGGGATTTAGCTCAGTGGTGTAAGCACCTACCTGGCAAGCATGAGGTCATGAGTTGGATTCCTGGTACAAAAACAAAAACAAAACAAAACAAAAAACCAAAGGCATACCTAGGTAACACTGAAAATAATTAGGTAGTATAAATACATTATACTTAACAGTATAATATATTTAACAGGTTATATTTCTACATTATATATTCTACTTTTCATATTTTGTGGGAACATCTTTGTTCATTGGAAATACTTAGGATTCCTGTGTAATTTTTTCTGGTATAGTTGTGTACATACACTGCACTTACCACATATTGTGTACATCCATATGTATTGTATACATCCATATGCTCTCAGGGGCATATTTGGCACACAGTATTTTTATTTAGAGTCTTGGCTGTGAGGTGCTCTGTGGATAAAGTGTGATACCTGGCTAAGGAGACGTTTGCTATATGCCATGCATCACTGAACAGTCTTGAGAAGAATGGCTCCAGGGTTGTGGTGGGAGAAAATGAGTGCTGGGCTGAGATGCTGGCCCTGCTCAGCTGCTGCTTTGCTGTGTGACCTCTGGAGCCCTCAGTATAACCCTAATGTAAACTCCGTTTAGCTTCATAGGTAGATTTCTAAAGAATGGGATGCAGAATTGAATGTAGGTTGTTGGCAGCATCTATTTCCTCCCCTCAGGATTCTCAAAAAGAAAAACAAAACTGTTGCGTGGAGTGCCAGGATGATCAGCTAAATGTGAATCAAAATGAAAATCATGTGTTCTTTCCACAGAAACACTTTTACAGTGGTTAAGGTTTGGGGCTGAGATTTGGAAGGTATTTTTAATGCCAACCTATGAGCTGAATAGGCCAGGACAAGTGAGCTTTGGTTTCTTCCCCTGTAACATGAGGATCAGGTTGGCTCCTGTCTCCTAAGGTGGTTGTGAGAATTCTATGGTCATTGTGTAAGGGCTCAAGCAGAGTGTTTGCTGGCCACATTAAGTAAAAAACGCTCTGGATCTGCCATTGTTACGACTACTGTCACCACTGCTCCTTTTAGACCACATTCCTGGTTTTTAATTTTTTTTTGTCTCTTTGAGACAGGGTCTCTGTACAGCTCAGGCTGGTCTTGGGCTCACTTCATAGCCCAAGCTGGTCTCCAGCTCACAATGATCCTCCTGCCTCAGTCTCCTGAGTACTGGGATTATAGGAGTGCATCATTATGTCTAGCTACACCGCATTACTCTTGAAAATGGTTTTAATTTGGGATTCTTGAACTATCAATAGGAATGTTCTCCTGCTGTCCGGGGATGCAGGATTTCCCTTTCCTTTAGTTTCCTTGTGCCATTGAGGAGGAGGAGGAGGAGGAAGATGAGGATGAGAGGAGGGGGAGGTGGAGGGGAGGAGGAGGAGACTTACCTAGTTCTGAACTGCTGTGGTTAGGTGCTTGTTGGGGAGTGAAGCTTGCTTACTGCTTACACATATGAGGCTGTAAATGGTCAGAGTCACCTTGTGGTCTTATAGAAGATCTGGTCCTCCCTTACTATGGCAGCCTTGGTGACACTCTTTGTTGTTCCATCCTGTGTTCTTGCTATTATTGTTCATTTCTGCTCAAGTTTCATGGCTACCAAAGAAGGGAACGGAAAACAGGAACACGTGCCAATTTGGAAGTTGAGAACAGTTTTTAAAAACTTTTGATAGCCAAGTCAAGGCTGTGAGAAGTCTAGGCCTGCATACTTGTTTGTAGCTATATACTGCATGTTGTGCAGAAGAAACAGGGTAGGGTGTAGGTATGGACATGGTAGCAGTACCTGACAAGGCCATTAATTGCCGGAGTGGTCTTATGAAAGCCCGTCTTTCTGTCAGTGTATTGTACGAATGTACCTCTCATAGTTCAGCTCTTCACCTTGGAAAGGGCTTGCAGCAGTGAGGTGACTCAACTACGATAATGAAGAGAAGAAAGGATCAGGAGGAAAGGTGAAGAGGATTCATGAAACACACTGAAGGATTAGCAGTATTATAAAAGATGATTGAGATGTTTAGTGAAGTAGTACATTCAGCTCTTTGCTAAGGAACACTATATAATTACAGTCTTTTTTGGGGGAAGGATTATATATTCACAATATTGCAGAAAACTTCCAAATTTGTGAAAATAATTAACTATTTCTCTTCCCCATTTCTTTGTTGATGCTGCCCTCACACAGAAATACCCATCCACTGTGGTCACATTTCTCATTCCCTTTGAAAATGTGAATGGCAGCATCTGATACCTTTATCTCCTCTGTTGCCTTTGTAGTGTGTCTTCAGGGCTTGTTCCATGCCTTGACCAGCACTACGGCCTCGTCTTCTCATTCACTCACCTGTGTAGCAATGTATTCTAAGGATATTCAGTAATTAAATTATCTGTTTATGTGTTCACCAACAAGTTTGGTTGTTTTTTGTCGTTTTGGTTCTTACTTTGCTCTCACAAAGTGCAGTACAATGACTGCTTTTGTCTATCTCTTACTTTTCCCTGTGAAGTTCAGGATAGTTTCCTAGAAAAGAAGGTGACGAGTCTAAATAGATGTGTATTTTGTATTTTGATGGACTTTGCCAAGTCTCCTAAATAGCAGTTGTTTGAGTTTCAACTGCCACCAAAACAGCACGCTTATTTAATTTCCTGTGTCCTCTTCCAGTGTGTTAAAATCCTTGAAAATTTTTGCTTATTGGGTTATTTTTTAAAAAAAAATGTGCGTGTGCATTTCATGTTTTTATTATGAATGAGATTAGTTTTTTATATGTCCTAGGTACTTTTATAGTTTTTTCCAATTATTCTTGTACTTTTTGCTTGCTTACCTTTTGGGTTATTGGATTTTAGAGATTTGTAGGGACTTTTTAAATTTAAAGAATTACATTTAAAAAATGTAACTCATTTTGATATTTTTTCCCACAGTTTGCATTTTGACTTTGCTGGTATTTTTATTGCCGTTGTGGAAGATTTTCATATAGTAATATATTGGCTTTTTTTTTTCCCTGTTTAGTAATGGGAATTGAACCTAGTGCTGATGTACTGAGCTACATCCTTAGCCCCTTGTTATGTTTTGAAACAGGGTCTCACTAAATTCTTAAATTGCCCAGGCTGGGCTTGAACTTGTGATCCTCCTCCCTCAGCCTCCCAGTGTGGGGATTACAGTGATACGTTAGTTTCAGGGCTTCATGAAATTGTACTTAGAACTGTCTCACTGTGAGATGATAGAAGCGTTCCCATGATATTCTTTTATTCTTATATTTTGATATTTAAATTTCTAACATGCCAGAATGAATGAAATGAAAAAGTTTTAATTTCCATCTCCTCAGAGTCTTTGAAAGATGATGAGGTTTATAAGATAGATAAATCAGTGTTTTTTTATTGTTTGAAGTTATTGTTCAGATAAGTGTTTGATATGGATTTGTCTTAGGTGGAAATATATTATTTTGAAAGATATCACCATGTAAAATATTAAGAAGTTCTTCCAAATTACTTGCTATCAGGAATAGTTGGTTTTTTATTTCCAGGCTGGATAACAAATTTTCATTTCTTATGAGTAGACTGAAACCATATGCATTTTCAAGGCAGCAGAAGTAAAATAGTATTTATTATGTAACTTGTAGCGTGTAGGTAGGAAGGGGAATTACCATGTAAGCAAAAAGCTAGAATTCATATTCCGAAAGATAGCCAGGTGACCCTCCATCCCCTCCCCTCCCCTCCCCTCCCCTCCCTTCCCCTCCCCTCCCCTTCTCTCCTCTAAGTCTGGTCAGATGTAGTGGAAAGTCAGTGCTACGCAGTTGCTGCTCTGTAGAAGATTGTTAACTGCGACTATCTGGCTGATGGGTCAGTAGTTGGAACCAGCATGGCTGTTCTTTTAGTTACAAGTGCACTCTGGACAGCATCGTAGGTGCCATACTTCCCACTCAATACCCAGGAAGTCCTTTTGTTGCCACGATGGACATTCACAGCTTAAGTATGTTAAGTTTTCGCATGTTTTGTTTGATGAAAGACACTGACAAAAGCCAATTTTCAGTGTCTGTCAACTTATGACACTCTTCTCTAATGACTTGTATGGCCTGCGCTGGCTTTTCTGTGTGAGTCTGGACCCCCGAGCAAAAGTTTACAAGGGAGTATTGCTGTAGCGAAGGGTTGATGGGTGTCACATTGGAATGCAGGAAGCTGGCAGGTCCCTAGCCACTCTCTGTAGTCTCTGTCATCACATTCCCTCTTAACCCTAAGGTCTGTGCCTCCCATTGAGCCTTGCCAAAATCACGTTTACTTGTAGGAGTCCTTGCTAGTTTTCTCTTTGCCTTTCTTAAGTCTCAGGTTGCCATAAAATACACATAAAATCGATATTCGACTACTAAACAGTTTCTTTTTCTGAGAACAGACAAATACTTATCAAAATGGATAATGAATGGACTCTGCTTTTGGCTATGTAGGTCACAGAGCCCAAGGCAGTGGGAGGGTCCAGGTGTGACAGGTGCGCAGTCAGAAGCAGTGAGTGTGCATCAGGGATTTCCTGTCTGCACCCTGCTGTCATGAAACCAGCACCCGTCACCTGCTGCCAGTAGTGTGCATTAGTGGAGCCCAACCAGCTGCATGCTGGTGCTCTTTACCTCATGCCTTGAGGTTTACGTTGTTTTAATACAAAATGGAGACAGACAGCGAGAGTAGCACTTCAGGGGATGACAGTGTCTCTTGGTTGGATTCCGAAGTTTCCACCCAGCTGATTGATGGTGAAGAGGGCCACAAGGGAGAGAATTTCAGGTAATTGAGAAATATTCCTACATTTACCTTTTGTCCCTTTGTTTTCCCCTGCTTTTTCATCGTCTGAGTTTCAGCCTCTTTTCTTTTCTTTGAGGGGGAAGACTTGGGGCTGAAGGGGACAAGTTTCAAGTTGTAGAGAGCATTCCTCATCCCACAACTTGCCCTGAGCTTGTAAAATGTGTTTTCAGTGACTTGTTAAAACACCAGGAAGAGAAGGTGTTAGACAGGTTTTATAGTAGTGTTTCAGGAATTTCAAGTAGAGACTCATAATGAACTGTAACCCTTCCTGTGTCTTGATTCTTATCTAGTAGATTTGATCTGAATTTGTGTCTATTTCTTACCCTCTTTTTTCTTAGAGTGTGTTTTGGACAGAGGCAGGGAGAAGGGTAGATAGTTATGTTGCCTCTGGGAGATGAGCACTGCTGCTCTGTTGTCTGAGCAGCCCCCTGGGATTGTTACAGCCCCCCAAATAAATTAGAAGGACAGAGTTTAACGGAAAGAGGACACTTTATCCATAAAGAGGAAAAGGAGGGGGAGAGGAGAAGATAGATAGCCCTGATAAGGAAGAATTAGGGTAAGGGACTCTGGAAAGATGGAGGGCCTATGGACCCTTTGTTCTCAGCTCTTGTGTACGGTGAGAGGGAGGTGTAGAAATGTGAGTCTCAATCTCTGCTTCTCGGGAACTTGCCATAACTGGGCTGGCCTCCAGGGACCTGGCCTGATTCATTTCTTCTGGTGCTCTAGGTGCAGTTTCTTTCTGTTTACTTGTTCTTGATGTACCTTTTAAGGCCTGTCTTTGGTGTTGGCAGCTAGTTGGTAAGGGGGTGCCTTATTCTTGATCAGAGTTGGTAAGGAGGTGTGTGGGTATCTGCTGTACCTATAATGACCCTGGAGAGACCCTAGAATGGATACACTTACATATGTTAGTGCATGGGGATGAGTACACACTGCCTGAAAGTTAGTCCCTCTTGCTTCCCCTGTATTTATTGGGGAGGGGGGCAGTTTATCTTTTGTGCATCTGGCTTGCTCTGTGTGTCTGGCCTCAGCTCTTTTTCTGGTCTCTTGGTACAAGTCCCAAGGCTATTTGGCGCCTATATATCCCCCCCCCCTTGTCTTTTACTTGCTTCCTAGGGAAATCTCTCTAGTAAAGTTCGTTATTAATACCATCTAGTCAGGATTAGCTAGAAGACCTAAGGAGGTCCTTATTTTTATTTTCTTTTCTGTAGACCCTTTCCTTGCAGATAGGTGTGTGTGTGTGTGTGTGTGTGTGTGTGTGTGTGTGTGTGCCTGTGCATGCCTGCCTGCCTGCCTGCCTGCCTGCCTGCCATACAAAATGTTTGGATTAAACATATTGGTTATTTTATAACTTTGATAATTTTTTTCCTCTGATTTTATGTCACATTCCATTTTCAAGTCTTTCTAGGTTTGTGAATCTCTCATAGTAACTTCATAGTAGAAGTTTTTAGAGGATGTCTCAAGGGTTAAGTAGCTTTCAAAGTTTAGAGACATTTGTTAAAAAAAGAAGTATACCAGCTTATAGAAAAAGTGCCAGTTGTATATATATTTTGCTACAGTGTTACAAATTTTAGGAAGCTTTTCTGTGACTTTTCTTTTTCATAAAGGCTTAGCAATTTAACCTTTGGTGACATTAAATTGCTAGCATTAAAACAAATCTCGAAGTTTGCAGTAGGTATTATCACTGCCACCCACATGAATAATTAAGCATCTTTAAACTTTTGCCTATGAGTACTTGACTAAGTGAACATATCATTTTCATCAGATACTGTCTTTATGCTTAATGTTCAAAAAGAATCTTTCTCAGTTAAAGGATTTCCTTATCTACAGTTTATTTTTTAGAGTTTAGGCTTACTGGTAGGAGGATTGAGTGTCAGGGATTCTTGCCAGCCTGCGTTGAGTTTGTTATTCAGGGGTTAAAATGAGTAAGAGGTGCTTATTAAATTTTGAAAGAGTAATTTTAGTATCCAGTGTATGAAGATAGACTTTTATTAGTATATAATTTTTTCAGGTTTCTGATTCTGTCAGTTTAATTTAGCCTATCTGATTTGAATGTCTCTTCTGTTTCAAAGTGTGCTTATGTTGCACATATCCCCTAGTATAGAGTGTTTCACTAACAGTCTGTATTTTGTTACATTTTCTTTGTACTAAAACTGTTTGACCTGATGCTTACATTGCCTAAGTTGTTTTGGGGTATTTGTCAAAGAAAGAAAGCACTTGGAAATTATTTTGTTGTTGCTTAACAGTAGGTTTGGTGCTATAATCCTGCACTTGTTTGTTAGGCAGCCAGTCTCCCTGGGATTTTCTTTTGATAGTTAAAAGCAAGTCTGTGTAAGGCAGAGCCTTTCTTTTCCTGGGGCACATTCTACCATATACGTTCTGAAACACTGAGCCAGTGTGTGCCTTGTTTTAGGAAGGTGTAGTACCATGGGGCACTTGTTTTGTGTTTACAGTTATATTTCCTATCGGAATGTCACCAGAGCTCTCCCAACCAAGCATGTCTTTTGAGATTTGAGCTTGTTCTATTTACAAATGCAGCCAAGAGACATGGATAAGGCTCCCTTTCATGTGGTGCTTCTCACCTGTTCAGCAGCAAGGCATGAGGAAACAGAGCAGGGGAGGTCTTTCTCAACTTCCACAGTGTCTTCCTCCTGGAATGCCTAGCAGAAAAATGCGTGTGGGTGTGGAAGGGCAAGGGTTGGATGGGAGGAGCTGCGGCTGTAAAATTGGAGAACTGCGTAGTGGACCGTGTTGTATGAGAATTGTTTCTGTACAGTCAACTGAATGACTGAAAAAGTGTACACTGGAGTTACAATGTGTTTCTTTAAAGTCTGTGCCAATACACCAGTCCATACTTTTGTGTTGCTGCATTTGTACTCCTGCATGCACACGCTAGTTGATGTGATGAAGACAAAGATGGTGCACTATTCTTTCCCCCTAAATAGCTTCTGAACTAGCTTTTAAGTTTACTACAGTACCAGGTCATTTGGGGTGCCACGGCTAAGACAGTGAAATCATCTCACATTTAGAGTACTTTCCTGGTGGCTCTTGGTTACCCTGTACTTCAGAAGGAAGGACCTTACTTAAAAGGGAGAATCATATTTGTCAGGTAGTTTTCAGAATGCCTTTATGTTTGAACTTGATTGAAGGTAAGGAAGGATACATTTCACTACTTGTCTTCATGGCACTGGTTAAACTTTTATACTCACTCGCAGAGCTGTCATTGTTTGAGTTCTCATTTGTACTGTCAAGTTAATAATATGCATTATTACTTACATATCACAGTGGTAAAATAGTTCTTTAGACTATTGATGCTGTTAGAATCCTTAGAATAGAATGGTCCTTAGAGATCATTAGAAAAATTATTGTCTAAATCAGAAAGGGCCTCACAAAATAGAAAAGGAAAAATATAAATATTTTAATTCTGTCAAGTAAGAAAACTTTATTTAGGAGTTAATACATACAATGCCCTAGGACAAATATATTATAATCCTGTTTCATATATGTCTGTTAACTACGTATCAGTTCTGTAAAATAGGTATTTTTTTCCCTGTTTTCCAGATGAAGAATTTATAACTGAAAGAACCACACAGTCTGCATTGTTATTGTACAGTTAAATTTTTGGTAGAGTTAAATTTTATATGTGATAGAGCAAAAATTTGATCCCAAGTGAGTTTGAAAGTGAAAGACTAGTTTTACAGAAACATTTTTTTTTTGTTCGGTCTTTTTCGTTTTTATCAGTACCAGGGATTGAACTCACAACTGCCTGCTTGCAAGACAGGCGCTTTTGCTGCTGAGCTAAATCTCTAGCCCCCTAGAGAAACATTTTTGATGTATCTGCTGTTACCCTCTTCTGAGGGATTAGCTTTTAAAAGACTGTCAGTATATAGAGTTAGTGTTTGAGCCATTGCTCGTAACTCGGATAGGTCATATAGCTATCAAAAAATTAATTCAGCGCAGCGGCCTGAGCGCCTGCCTTGCAAGCAGGCAGTTGTGAGTTCGATCCCTGATACTGATAAAAACGAAAAAGACAAAAAAAAAAAAATTAAAGCAATGAGTACAATATTGTGACCTTTTAAAGATATAGTCTCTAGGCATGTAGGATTCATGTCCAACTCATCACGAAGGCTCCAGGTCTTTGGCAGTTGGAGGTAGAAATCTTGTTTAGTCTTTTCTCCTAATATTGTGCTGTTGGTAGATAGATGGACAATCTGAATCTGGCAAGTAGATCATATCATTCGAAACATAGGAAAGATGTAGTGCACAGCATCTTAACTTGTGTACCGTTAGTCGGTTGCTTAAATTCCTTAGTCACATTTTTATTTCTCTCTTAATTTAAGACAATTGATTCTATGTAAGAAAAAATCTTCTGATTAGTTAAGCTGGGTGATTTAGTGAACATGTTTTAATTTTGAGAGGAATGTCTGTTTGTAGCATTATAAGACGAATAACATTTCACATACTTTTTGGGCAGTTGTTTGTCTTATTCTTTCTTTGCCTTACTTGGAAGGAAGCGACAAGTAGACACTACGTAGTCCAAGTAGGTAACGGGGCCTGGGCAGTAGCACCTTATTCCATTTCTTCTACATTTTTGCTTTTCTTTTAGATGACTTACTTATAATGGCTAATTGCTCTGGAAATACCTGAAGTGATTCCAACGATTTCTTGCTTTTTACTGTGATTCTTTTGTCTTTTGGAGAAAATGTTGACTTTGGGGGAGGCTTCCCTATTTTTATCTGTTCAGAAGGGTGGAGGTCCATCCCAGTACTTTACCCAAGTCCATTGTATATTGTTTGAGTTCATAGTCATTGCACCCTTAATTTTACTTTATGCATAATTTTCAAGAAGTTGTACATATTGCCAAAAAGATGATATTTATGTTGCTTTGTAGCCTTAAAGATCATGGCTTACTTTTGCCCCTAATTTTTTTAACATTAAATACAATTTTCACTCAAAACCCCTCTCAGCATTGGAAACATGACTTT